TCTTTACCCTATGGTTTTTATTTTCACTGTGTTGCTTAGTTTTTTCTTAATTATTTTTACTTGTTTTGTATTAAACTTAACTTCTTTCCTCACATTATCTTGCAATTTTTATTCTGGCACTGAGATTGGCTATGGTATGAAATTATCATGAATTTCGTTTTTTTTTTTTCCCCCCAGTGTCTGGCAAGTATGGGGATCCGAACCCTTGACCTTGGTTTTATAACACTGCACGCTAACCAACTAAGCTAACCGGCCAGCCTCATTCTTGGCTCTTTTTAAAGATGATTTCCATGCCACCTGGTACCAGAACTGGTGACCTGTGAAATATATTTCTTCTATACAGCAACTCTGAAAAGTAACTGACTTTTGGTTTTCTCATCTTTGAGATTTTATTCATCCAGTGAACTCCAGTAATCAGGGAAGTAATGTTGAGGGCTAAGTAGCTTTTTTGGAGGTTGAAGTCCTCATGGTATTTACCCAGTGGTGGGCTGGAATGGAATTGTACTGACCCATGAAAACCAAATATTGGAAACTTGTTCCAACAACCATTACAAGTTAAATATACAAACTCACGATTAAATAAATTACATTAAAAACTCATAATTTCCTAATTTTGTATTACATTTTACTATTACCTAGGATCTTGAGCTCATTACATCTATTATGTCTATGTGGCAGAAAGTAGTATACAATGAGGTGCTATTGTGCCTCTCTTCCAACTCTGCATCCAGTGATGCCACTTTGGGTAGCTTGAAGTTGGCCATGATGGATACTGGTTGTTAAACATTTACTAACAGCCCATGGACTCACCACACAGGCCATCTTTTTCATTTGGTAGTGCTGAGGCTCGAAAGCAATGCCTGAGACACTGTAGATACTCAGTAAAAAACAGCTATCTATACTCGTTCCTTCAGAAAACCTCTGCCATCTCCTAGGAGCCTCAAAATGTCCAGTGTTGCCAGTCTATGGCAGTCCAGGGCTTCCAAGAGGACACAGGATTTCTTCTGTTTCTCCATTCATGAAATAGGTTCAGTAATAACTCGACTTCATCCCTTCCAGGGATATGTTAGGGGGGAAAAGTCCTAACTGATATGAGAGCATTTTGAATGATAAGGAAGTGCAGTTCCTAACTGGAGGCTGAGAAGTAGTTTCACACAGGATTGCTGATTTGTGCCAGTGATGTCTGTGAGAAAAAAAATATGCTTCTCAGTCCCCCAGCCCTGAGCTGTAGCAGTGATTCCTCAGTGCTGGTACCTGGATGTGTGTACCATGGTTCATGGCCAAGATTTCTTGGGCCACTGGCAAATAAGAACAAGTTAGTAGGGTGTGGGTGAAAGGTTGTCTGCTTACCTTATCCTGAATAGGACCATATTTTATTGTGGGATTTGATTCTTCTGACAATTTTCACATTAATATGTCCTATCTTTATGAAATAGCGGTGATAGTAAATGGTAGTGGTACCGGTACAGTTAATTTTAAATGCCATTACTAAAAGAGCTAAACATTGTATTGGTCCTCTTTCCCACTTCCCAAGTTTTTTTTTTTTTTTAAACTTAAATGTTTTTGGTCCAGTGGTCCTAAAAGCCTAGAACTACTCTATTTTGAATCTAAATTGATTTTTCTGGAAATAGAAATAAATCTTAATGAAATTATTCCATAGGTGACCTGTATCATCAATGTAGACATAGTGAGCACTTTAGTTTTCTCCTGCCCTTGCCTACTTTCATAAAACTGTTGGAAGTTATCAAGAAAATCAAAGTGTGAACTGAACAAACCTCATCTTTATCTTTTCTCTTCTGCCAAGGCAACTTTTCGAAGTCTTGCAGAACTGATCTTTTCAGGGGAGGCATGCAAAAAGTGAGCCTTTAAGCTTAAAATTGTAATTATGTTGTTTGCTTTTTACCAAAAGAAATGTTCATCCTTATTCTAGGAAGTCTAGGGTCCACATCTGGCTTTAACCATTTTTGTCTTTCCTTTAACACTGTTGATATTAATGCCAATTTTAATTTCTTGGCATCATGATACGTAAATATATCTCCCACAGATGTGATTTTGAACAAGGACTGAAACTGTAAATTCAGAAACAAGAGATTCACAGTGTTTCATCAGATCACTCCAGAAAGTCACACAGTTGTACTGAAATGGTTTTAAATTGCTCATTTCAAACCTACCTCGGTAGCAAAATGCCATGCATGCAGTGGATTTGCAACCACGTTAGTCATTTTCTTTCCTCTGTTTCCTTGCTGTGTTTGTATTGGGAGCACAGAGTAATGTAATTTAGTAAATTATGATTTGATGGCTGGGCATCAGCCCCAGTGTTGAACAGTATTTGGACTATGATTACTTGCTGGCTTTGTCACAGTTGACATTAATTATTGATGGAAGTTTCAGAAATAGCGCATGTGCCAGGAGCTTTTCACCGGAACGCAGGCTTCAGGCAGGAGGGATGCTAAAGAGTGTGGGGGAAGAGGCACCTGTGGCTTGTTGGTGTCTGTGCACAGGGAAGCTGCACCCGGTGGGCTGTGTGGTACCTGTGTAAAGGTCATGGTGTAACGGGAGGATGAGTCGTCAAGCTTATTTCTATCGTGTTCCTCCGCAGGAATTGCACCGAAGAAGCCAACTTCAACCGGAGCCAGCCAAGACGAAGGCTCTCCAGACTGTCATTGAAATGAAGGTAGGAGCTGTGCACATTTGTCAAAACTGTTGTGCCTCGGGAGTTTGTTCTAGCGTGATGGTGCCCAAGATAAACATATGAAATAAACCTCGTGTTTATTTCACGAGGCACCCTGGTGGGTGCTTTGCTTCTGGATCTTTTCTGCTTCCTGGGTTTGTTTAATTTATTACCCTTTAATTAGGATGTCTTTTCTGGCCAAAAGAATAAAGGGCTCAAGTATCCCTTGGCCGAAGAGAGCTGGGTTCATTTCCAGAGCATGGCCAGTGCCTTTAACCCTAAGGGAGATTTTGTGTGTGCATTAAAAGTAAATTTCTAAAGCTAGAATAATTCTTCTTTCCCCCGTTCATGTTACAATGAAAAGACACCTTTGAGAGACTAGGATTTTTCAAAGGGAAGTTATTTTATATGCAGTGGAGTTGTTAAATAATGAAAATCATGCTATCAGCAAAATTTACTTTTCAAAAATTAATACTTTCTTTCAACTCCAGTATTTTCTCTTAACCAAGTCTGCAAGTAATAATAATTTATAAAGTGCTCACAAAGTATCCTATTTAGCTGTGGAGCAAATAGATACACTATTTAAAGGAATATAAAAATCCTTCTGGGTGGATTTAGGGCATTTAAGTAATAATGAAGTAAATGATGATGGCCAAACCATGGTCTATGATTTAGAAGCAGACCTAAATGAAACTGAATTGCTTTTCCAGTATCTAAATATTTGAAGTCTTTTTACGTCCAGTTTTTGCCAGAAGGAAGCAAATAGTCACATATTTATCTTAAGAATAAATAATTATTTATTTAAATTGTTCCATTAAGAAAAGAAATTTATAACAAAGATGTATGCAAACTGAAAATTCCACAGTTGAATTTAACACTCAGGGAATTTGCTGATCACCATCAGCCCACAAGAGAATTCTGAAGCTTGCTGATAGTATACTGATTTTTTTTCTTTCTTGCAGCACATGATTTTGAATAATCTGCCAAAAAATTCCCAAGTCTTGGGGGGAAAAGAAACTAATATGAGCTATTAAATTCTTAGCATGTACAATTCTGACTTGAAAATTTTTTTTTCTAGTCAGTGACAATGTCTTCATCCAAGTGGATTTTTGTGGAAATAATGTAGAACATTTGCTTTAAAAATATATGTCCCCAAAATGAGGTTACATGAGTCAAAGCACTCATAATGTATTTGCAGCACATTGGCTTGAAAACTATCATTAAAGAATCCAAATACCAATAGGATTAAAAAATAATTGTTAATCCTGACTCATCAATTGTTTTGAATTTATGTAATTTTAACTTATTTTGAAGAGAAACAACATTCTACACTTGGGGGGCAGTGGTTCCTAAATGAGATTTCATCCTCACTTCACATTGGAACCAGATACAAAATTTTGTTAAGGCTTTTTAAAAAATTTATTTTTTAAAAAAAGAGGAAAAAAGGACAAAACACTTGAGATATATATATATATATATATATATATATATATAACCTCCACACCCACCTTCCCAGTACTCAGCACAAATAGTAATGGAGAAAAGGATGTTATATAATCTATTTCTAAATTATTATTATTATTATTATTTTTTAAAAGAGTTAGTTCCAGAAATCTTTGGAGAAACCAAGAGAGACATCTCTCCTAATGTGGTGGGTATTTTCTTGGTAAATGTCTGTACGCAAAGGCAATTGGTACTTTCTGGTGACTTTTTAAGGAGAAAATCTGTTTGATTCTAATTTGCTGTTTCTAGCATTATGTTTTATTATAAAACAAACAAACAAAAAGCAAATAAAAACACTTATTTAGGCTGTCTACGTGGGAAGGCATAAAAAACATGATTTTGTGGATTTAAAAATCATGTTAAAAAAAAACATTTCGCATGTCTAAACATGATTTTTCATTAAATTGAGCCTGGAAGTTTTTTTTGTTTCTTTTTTATGGATTCCAGTGATGCTGATTTGTAGGCATAAGAATGTATTTTTAGGACAAATGAAAATCAATATATTTGTCAGGGAACTGAGCCTGGAATTTTTCTGTTGTCTTTTTGGATGCCTGTTCATTTACGAAAGCACTGCCTTCTGTCTTGTCATCTTAGAAGTCTGGGTCCCGTTAACATCTGTACTCAAAGTACCTAAATTGAGTTATGGAGGCAACTGGTGGAGGGTCATCTCTCTGGCCGTGTGTGTAGCTAATGATGGAGGCTGTGATCTCATCCGATTTTGTACATCACACCCCTGTGAAATCGGAGGGAATATTGGAAATCCATAATGTACAGGCCTTAGAGTTAACTACCAAATAGATCTGACTTTTAAACCTGGTGGGTGGAACTTGAGACCCTGCCGTGTATGAGCATTGAGTAATCATCAATGTCATCTAGTGTCTTGGCAAAATGTAAAGTTAAAAAGATCTTAGAGTAAATTGGCCCTAGTTTCAGGGAGATGACATAAATTAGGGCTCTGAACTTACTCCTGCTTATCCCTTGCTTCTTAGAGAAACTGAGGGTGAACTTCAGATTCATATATACTTTGCATCAACTCGAGAAAGGCGTTTGTTGTGAAATTCTGTAAAATCTTGCCTAAATTCAAGCACTATTTAGAACCACAGTCTGGTAGTTCTAAAAGATCTCTGGACTTTTAGAGTTATGAAAATATGTCTCTGTGGGATGAGCGTTGGGGAAGGCCATCTGCCTGCATCAAATTGGGGGGCAGTTCTCTTGCAGACGTCATGTCTCCTGCCAGCAAGTTGAGCCAGGGGGTAAAGTCACCTGAATGAATATGAACAGAACAAAATGGATAAAAATATTTGTAATTTATCTTCTTGCAGGAAGCACCAAGTTTTAATTTTGATCCTGATTTGGTCTGGCAGGTATGTTCCAGGTTTGCACTTAGAACATTGTGTGTGTTGCTCAGAAAAATTAGTTTCTTGTAGATGTTGTGACACTCCTTCTTTTCTTGCTTTCATGTCTAAAGATTTTTTACTAAGCTCCTCTGTTCTGCTCTTATGGAGAACTGTTAATAGAATGGCAGTTAAAATGCTTGTTTTCTCTTTTTTCTCTCCTTAATGTTAATTCCTTGAAAAGAATGTGTAACCTATTTTTCTTATAAATTTGATATGACATGAACATGATGTCCAAAAGTTTCACTTTCTTGGGTTCATTCATAAAGCTGCACCCAGTTTTTTTTTTTTTTTTAAGAAAATGAATGACACTAATGGCAGTACTTGTCAGATAATCTCAAAAACTTTTTTCTTTGTTAGCTAGAACTTCTAAGTGAATGAAAATCTAATCTAGAGTGGCTAAAACCAAAAGGAAATTTATTGGCTCACTTAACTTGAAAAAAAACATGGGTATTGCTTTAGACCTAGCTTGATACAGGGGTTCAAAATATATTAGCGGATCTCATTTTCTCTTATTCCGTCTCTTATAGTGGCTTCCTTCATGTGAGCTCTATTTTTAGACAGCCTCTCCCTGCCTATCTGAACAAGACCACTGCAGCAGCTTCAATAATCACAGCAGGAGGGCAGGAAGAATGTTGTGTTTTTTAAAAAAAATGCAAAAAACTAACCAACCCTAGAGTAACAATAAGAGATGGAGCATAAAACTTCACTTCAAATTTAATATCCTAGGTTGGAAAGAATATGCATGGAGTTCCCTAGCTTAAAAAAATCAACCTCCCCACTGAGGTTGCACTTGTGTGCCATGAGTGGTTTCTCTTGAGTAACATTTGTCCCCACCAGGGTTTTTTATTGGAACCAAGTAATAAGCAATCTTTTGAGCTTGACTAAGTTGCTGAAGTGTAGTTGTGGTGTTGGTGGAAGAATATGACTTTGCATTCAGGTGCAACTTCAGTGGAGAGGTTGATTTTTTGTTATTAAAACTAAAGACTATACCCTGTCTTTGTGTTCAGGCATATGACTGCTCTTTTGCATAGAGCTCACCTATAGTTGGGTTTAGTTTCCCTTTAAAGGTATCTTGCTGTTTGGTCCAGTTCCACAAGATATGGAAGAGATATAATGGAGCATTGTGAAGTTAAGTGCTACTACGTGGCAACTTTCCCAAGGTCATACAACTAGGAATGGAGAGAGTTTAAATCCAAACCTAGGCCATTGAGCACAGCCTGATGCCCCTTGTGAACTTATTTGAATCCTAGGATCTGGTCAGAGACACTAAGAAGTGGCTGCTGTGTTTTCATGGGCTCTAGGGTCCACCTAGGTTTATTTCATTCATCTTTGGGACTGTTACTTGTTTGGGTCTTACTTAGAGTTATTTTTTCTCCCAGTATGCTGTGTTTATAAAAAATTTGTGCCAAGCCTAGTTTTTCTAGTCAAGACATTATGGTGGCTTTTAGACCATAAAGAATGGACCCCTTCTTCTTTTGTGGTTATTAAAAAATAATAACAGCACCACCAACAAAAATGCTACCTGCACCACCAGTGACAGGAACACAACTACCACACATAGGGTCTAGGCATTTGACGTGCAGTAAATATGTGAATAGGCATAATTATCCCCACTTCACAGATGAGAAAGCTGTGGTTTAGAGAGAGTACGCAACCTGCCCAAGGTCCTACAGCTAGTTGTCTGGCAGCTGAGATTTGAACGTAAGTTTCTTCCCAAAGCTCTTGCACTCTCTACTCCTCCTGTCCGCTTTTAGTAAAGATGGCCCATAGGTTCAACTGGTTTTTCTTTCAATACTTACTTTGGAAATTGTGCACTTAGGTTTGCATCATAAAACAGGTAGAGGCAGCTCATGAGAGCTGAAGAGGCCTGTTTGATGTTTTTGGAAAGGCACAGAGCTGTACTTTGTACTATAAGTCAAGACTCATCCTTTTTACATGTATGTGTTATCAGACCTCCAAAGAGGGCTCTGATGTGCACCTATAGCCAACATATGCCCTGTTTTTCCCTTTCACTTTAAGTCTTGCCCAGAAATCTTTTTAACAGAGTGGAGTGATAACTTGTTTAAACTTGAAAAGCCCTGTGTTTTTAATGTGCATTTATGA